GTGTTTAAAGTATGTTCCTTCAGTATAGAGCCAGTGTCTTTAATCTCTATCTGTTCACACCTAGCTCCCAGAATAGTCAGATTTCAATAAGTGTTAATGAATGTTGTTTTGAAATAAACAGAATGCTCTTAGAGACTTTGCCTATTCATGTAAGTATTCCTAACTGAACTAAATTATTTATGTTAAACTCAGCCTTCCTTCTTCCTGTCAAGTCCTTTTTCATTGTTGCCTATTTATACAGTGTGCAATTAAAGGTTGGCAAATAGCTGTTGCAGATGACGGGGGTATTGGTTGAATGCCCAGACCAGAAGGGGGGTTTCACACACTGTCTTATTGGTATCACACTGTCTTTGGATGGGGAAGTCAAGAGTTGGTTTGAGTTGCTGTCTTTAGTTCGTCACTTGGTTCATTCATTGTCTGGAATTATTTATGGCTGACACAATGAGGCAAGGTAGTAAATGGGGGCTCTTTCGGCTGGGCCCCGTCCTATTCTCTTCAGGCCCTCTGTTCACACCTTGTAACATCACTCCATCCTTGTAGAGAGGAAAGGAAACAACCTTCATGTGTTAAGTATCTACAAAATCAGACTCTGTTCTGGGCAGATTATACCTATTATCCTGTTTAATTAACACAACAGCCTTGGAATATGAGTTGTTCTCAGTCTAGGATTAAGGACATTTTTATAATTATATAGTTTAAGCTTCCCCATTGTATACTTCATTGGTAGTGTAGTGCCTGATCCATATATATGTTAAGTAACTGTTTTAAAGTCTGTTCTGATTTGAAAGTCCCAGCTCTTTTCATTAGTGAGTGCTGTCTCAAGATTTGCAAGGAGATAGATGTCATATAGGACACACTAATTTATAGGATTATCTTATAATATCTACCCAAAAAATCAAATGCAGAAGAGTGCAAGAGATCTTTCTGTGTGCTAGAGATCTGAAGAATTCAGCTGAGGGCCTGGATTCCATGGCCCTGTCCCATACAAGTGCAAACGAAGGCCTGGAGCCCAGTGCAGGGTCGCATGCAAGTCCATATCAAGGATCTGAACGGGAAAGGTCCAAGGGCCAGTGGTGGGAGCTAGAAAGTCTGCACCAGCAGGGTGAAGGATCTGTGCCAGAAGACTGAGGGATCTGCACTGGAGCTGGGAAGCAACACTCAACACCAAATTGAAGTCGAGAACTCCCTGAAGAGAACAGCAGCTAACCCAAGTGACAGCAAAGACCTGAGCTCCTCCTCCTCTGAGAAAAGCCTATCTATATCAGGAAAACCAGCTACTACAAAGCTTCTCTTGGGAAATCAGCAGCATGCAATCTTCCCTTCCTCTTCTCTTTTTTTCCATTCAGTCAACAATCCTCAGGTTGGTCTTCCACACCCAGATCTCCACTGAGTCAGTTCTGCTGGGTGTTCCCACCTTGTTGACCATTAATTAACCCACAGCACTCCCCAGGAAATGTGCTTGTGAGATGTTTGGGTGAATGCACACGGTTTTCATATCTGACTTATATACATAATAGTCATTATCTAACTATACTTATATAGAATTATTTTTCAGGACCTCCAAGTGGAAAAGGTAAGTGGTCATCACTTGTATCAAAAGCATAGAAGCTTTCAGGATAGGCTGGATTAGGAACCCTGTGATTTGCAAGTCATTAAAGTGAAGCATTGTTTAGAAATAAGAATGAGTATTGGTAGAAGTCATGCAAGAATGAGAAGGATCTGCTAGAGCGATGAAATGAACCAGCACAAACCCTCGATTTGTGGAGAGAGGGGAAAAGGGGAAGCTGGGTAGCGGGAAGGTGCATTTCCTATTCGAAAAAGGCATCGGGAAATTGGCATGGAAATAGGGCCACAGAAACTAGGCAACCAGTGAATATTTTTTGTAAGTTGAGTACAAAGACTTGACAGAAAGTGGTAAGATGAAAGGGAAAAGGGGAATATCTGTGGAAACCACTGTAAAGCACTGGAGGAAGAAGGTGGACGAGACACATTTCTGAAGGGAAGGAGGTGAGCAGTTGAAAGGCAACTGAATTTGAAAGCAAGGCCTGAGGAAAAGTTATTTGCTCACTTGCAGTTATAAGGTATCATTTTTATCTATTCATGTGACACCTTGTCTAGGGAATAATAAATATTAACTCAGACGCAAAATCCTCTTTCTTTACAGAAAACTTAATTAAACAGGAGAAACAGATTCATTTCCAAGGAAAGCTTGAGGACTTGAGAAAGTTGCATAGGATCACCTTGTTTCCTTCTAACATTCTTATGTAGGTTAAAAAAATGGTTTAAAATGTAGATGGTGGGAATCTCCCGAAGAAAAGAAATAATAAAAGGTTGGAAATAATGACTTGTCAGTACTTTACATGTATATAATGGATAGTGGTTTTAATCTCACACGTCCCCTATTGCCTTCCACTCCTATGCTCTTGTTTTTCCTTCTGCCTGTTACATTGCCCTCATCTCCTCCCACTTTCCTTCCTCCTTGCAAGCCTCATCAACCTTCTCTCTTCTCTGACACCAGGAGTTGTTGTTATGTTGCTTTCTGCTGTCCATCCTCAACTGTCTTACATCAGGCTAATGTACACATTTTATCTGTCCCATTCAGTGTGATGCGTCTACAGGACAGGACTATCTTCTATCTTCTCTCTTATCCTCCATGACCTCTTGCTATTGGTGAAAAAAATATTAAGTAATCCTCTTTTTGTAAATGACAGAACAAACCTGGCTGAGATTAAATAGTAGAGTTTATAAGCATAGGGTTTAGAATTCAGGCTCCGAATGTACATTTGTGAACTCCAGGACTGTGTTATCACCCTATACTGCCTCTCTTATAACTTCAAGTGCTAAGGGGCCATGTGAAGGGAAGTGAAAGTGTGCACTAATATGAGAGGCTCAGGTGCCCCAGGAATACACCAGCTTTTTTCCTCTTCTAGAGCCACTTGTGAAGTCACTTACCTATGTCATGACTTAGCTTCTCTACTCTCCTGATGAGACACCAGACCCATGTGCTGAAAAGGAGATCTGCCTGCCCCTTTCGGTTATCACGGATAGTGAACCAGTACAGAGATTGCGAATGCTACTGCCAGAACAATAGTCTATTTTGTTAGCACAGTTATCTCATTCAAAATATAACATTTAATATATACTTTGCTTTTACTAGGTATATTCATATTTTAAAAGTGGTTGTGTACATATCCTGTCTGAAAATTTGTAGTATATTTATAAAAAAAAAGAATTTTGGTGTACAATTACTATCAAACTGGCACCAGACAAAATTGTTCTATCGTATTTTTTGCTATACTCATGTCAACTCCTGTTTCTTCTTTGAAACTGGGTTATTAATAGCTGCCAAAGTACCCCAGCCCAGATCTTCCATTTCAATTTGTAGATTGAGAATAATTAACAGTAGTATATTTACTAAGAATATTTGTAATTTAACAGCATGTCTCCCCAAAAGCATGACTATTGCTAGATTATATTCACTACTTAAGTGGAAAAATAAATACTTTTGAAATAAAGTAAACATGTAGAAAAAGTACATTACAATGACAACCACCTATTGTGTGTAAAAATGAAGCCTACCCCTGACTTATGGTTTATTTAAAGTGTCTTGTCATGTAACAGTTTGTGATATTATGCAGTTGAAATTTAACTTCACTTATCTCTCAGATTTCCCCTTGTGCTCTGAATTCTATGGACATGGCATTTGTCTCCTTTCATGAAAATGTGAAAATGACCCAGAATCATATCAATCCTTTCTCTTCTTATCTAATTGTTTAATAGAGATAAAAATAAAAGGACATTTTAAAATTAATATTTTCTTTGAACAAAGTCTTTCAATCACCCTCATTCTTGTATGCTAATTTAGTAACCATATGGTGAATTTTTTGTTTTTCACTTTGTGCTCTTTAAAATTTTGTCTATAGAGTATGTCTCTCATGTCACAAATTTTATCTATATAAACCACTAAGACAAAAATGTCTAGAAAACTGATACAATGCAATGACTCCCAAATATGTTTCACATTTCCTTTGACCACCTTCATTCTTTGCTTCTAGAGATATATGAAAAAGGACAGGAAATGAGTCCTCATGTATTGCCTTTAAGAAAACAAGACCATTAACATAAAGTGGATGACAGTGGTCCAATGGAATGACACACCTCAACTTGCTCTAGATCGATATGAATTCTGCAAATAATGGACCCATTGCGATCAAGCTACCAAGAGTTCATTATCACCACAAGGGCATGTGAATGCTCACAGCAAACAGATTGCATTTATTTTGTACTAATCAGAGGAGACAAAACACTCTATAGTCGAGTTATTTCCTCTTTTGAAGAGCCAAAAAGGCAGTAAATATAGTTGAAAAGGGAGACACAGGTTGCGGTCAAACTTGCAATAGGTCCAGAGAGTGGACAGCCTCTTTTGGGTATGGTCTGTGTTTCCTCAGAAAGGATGGTTGGTGTAGAAAGAAGCCAAGTGATGAAATCTTCTATCTTAGTAGCCCTGAGGAAAAATCTCCACTTTCCTCCATGAACAAAAGTTAGCTTGATCCATGTACCAAAGTCTGGGTAAATATAAATATTTGACTTTGCTTTTTTAAGGCTTCTAGGTGCTTTTTTCCCATTACTTTTCCTCGAAGTTTTAATTTTGGGAGATATTTTATTTTCTTCAAGTTGATCAGTGGGCTCTGAATAATTAGGAACTTTCTGTGGTTCTGTTGTTGAGATTTCAGAGTCTACAGAGGCTGTGGTGTCCTTCAGAGTTTCTGGTTGTATGAATTTATGAAGCTGTTCTGTGATTTCTTTAGCCTTTTCTCTCTCTAGAACTTCTAAACAATATATGCTAGGGCAAGAATTCTGGTTTTCCAGTTCTATCACCTTCTTCTTTAAAGTATTCAAATCTTCTTTCATAGGGAAGATATCTTTGGTGGCCGTGAGTTCATTGTCTTCATTCGCATTCATTCTGGTTTCCATGATGTCCATCTGCTTCTGATAATGGCTGATCTTGTCCTGGATTTTTGATACTGCACTAACAATGTCAGTCATTTTGCTGAGGAGTTCAATTTGGGTAGTTTGAATATCTTGGAGCATTACTGTAAGATTCATATCTTCATCTGCACTGATGCCATCTTTGTCACAATCATAAGAAGTCATTGTTGGGTATCTGGTGGTGGAATCTGGGTGCTGGATCTTACATTTTTGGTAGACATTTTTAAGAGATTTCCTGATCTTGCAAAGATTTGAAGTCCACATATATTTAGCAGCAGCTTTAACCCTCTTGGTATGAAATCTGTACATCTTTCATTGTGGAATAAGGTGCAGTGTATTGGGAAATGTTACTAGAATCACCGAAAGGGCCAATGTCAGGATGAAATAGCTTTTCTCTTACAGTATGCTGGATTTCTTTCTGAGTAACATGATAGTATGCCCAATGGAGAACATCGAAGAGGCACTTTTAGGTGGTAACTTCTTCCAAGACAGACTGAATGGAGAATTCTGTGAAGCCAGGGTCAACTCTATAGACTCCTTCCCATAGCAATCGTTAACATCATGCTGATGTCACAAGTGCTTGCTGGTTTAGAACACATAGAAGCATGTCACAATACTTCTCAAGATTTTTGTCACAGCACAGTTTTTTTACTTGTAAAAATTTTTGAGGACCAGAAAGCTTTTGCTTATGTGAGTCATATCTGTTGATATTAAAAATTTAAACAAAGAAAAGCATTAAGATATTTATTTCCTTATATAAATAAAAATTACATGTTAACATAAATGGCATATTTTATGAAAAATAATGCTATTTCTTATGGAAAAATAGTGACAAGAGTGGCTTATTCTTTTGCATGTCTGCAAATGTTTAAAATACATGGACTCACAGAAGACACATTCTCATATATGTTTCTGCATTTGTAATATGTTGCTTTCACTGAAGTACATGAAGAATATATGGCATTTTACTAGCTTTTTCAGATAATTGGAAATACCCTTACTATTCTGCCAAAATTTCACAAATGATAACTTTTTAGAAGTTAATTTGTAATGTATAATCCTGGGCTAGATCATTGAACATTCATACTCTGTTACTTTAAAATTTACTGGCCTATCTTTCCATTTTTCATGGTTTATGATAATTTGCACTGGCCATTGGGAAAGTGATGGTTCACTGCATTATGTGGATCTGCTAAATATTGATTCCTGTTACTATAAAATATCAGCCTGCCATATTCATTAATATCATCACCAACTTCACAAAAAGGTCTGCACATATTAGGAAGAGTTCATGCTCGTAGAAGCAGATAACATTTTTCCAAAATTTTAGTTTAAGAGCTTGCAACTTTTCAGCAAGTTTTTGTTAAAATAAGGCTACTTACATGCTGTTTTTTTTTCTAAAATTGCTTGCTAAACATCTAAACATTAATACTATCGATTATTGTCAGTTATTTTTCACATATAAAAATGATATTCAGGCCTGCCTGTCTGCGATCACCCGGCGGCGTGCGCGCGAGCTCCCGGCCTGCG